TCAGCAGGACCGTGCCACTTCCAGCTCCAGGTAACAATCTAGACTCCTTGGCTCTGGCGGTCCTTGCTGTTGTAGGCATCCTAATCACTGCCACCTCTGTCTCGTCGTCACATGGCTTCTCCTGAGCATCTCCCCCTCTGTGTCTCTCTCTTATTTTTTTTTAGTATCAGGGGTGATTGAACACAGGGGCACTTTACCACTGAGCCACATCCCTAGCCCTTTTTATTTTTATTTTGAGACAGTGTCTCACTGAGTTGCTTAGGGCCTCACTAAATTGCTGAGGCTGGCTTTGAATTTGAGATCCTCTTGCCTCAGCCTCCTGAGCACCTAGGATTGCAGCAGTGCACTATCGGGCCCAGCGCCTCTCCTCTTCTTATAAAGACAGCAGTCATGTTGGGTCCAGGGGCGCCCTTTATCATCTTGGCTTGTACCTTACTTATGTCTGCAAAGACCCTGTTTGCACATGAAGCCGACATTACAGCCTGGTGTTTGAGCTTGGATGTGTATTGTAAGGAGACATAGTTCCACCCACAACAACCAAGAGGTAGAAACTTTTTTCTGGGAATGGCACCCAGGGCCTCATGCATGCTAGGCAAGCAGTCTACCCGTGAGCAATGCCCTCAGCCCCAAAGACATAAACACCTTGAGGTTCCCGAGACACTTCCACAAGAAATCATCCAGTTTGCAAACACACCAGTGTGAGAGTCTGCCACCATCCCACCTTCTCAGAGCCCAGCGCCTAGGGTTTGCTTTCCTTCCTTAGTTCTATTATCGGGATTTTTGCAAATTTGGTAAGTGAACAATGACTTCTTATTTCTGTTTTGCAGTGTCCCCCACGGGAGAGGTTCAGAAATTGCAAGCAGTGCTCAGAGCCACATCATCCACCATAGCTAAAGAAAGACGTGTCCTGGACAAAGGGCTGGGGACAGAGCCGGGCCGGCCACGGGTGTTCACTGGGCAATAAGCAGCCATCACATGACACCGAAAAGCAGGATTTAGGGACATTTGTCTGGCAGTCGTTAGCTCCTGGTTCTCCTCTTGCAGAAGGCAAATATCAGAAAGCAACGAGGAAAGAAAAAAAAAAAAAGAGGACAAAAATTTCCATTTATCCATCTGAAATTAATGTCCCATCAAGAAGGCCTGGTGGCTTCTGCAGACAGCCCAGCTGCCGCTGCTGAGTCCTGTCTGGGTCGCTCGTCACCATGGCAGGTCCAGTAGATGGCTGCAGGGGCTGAACGCAGCCGGGTAGCTTCAGGAGCCCTCTCATCGGTGCCACCCCGTCAGAACACTCCGTGCCGAGGCCGGAGCCCGCCCCCGTGAATTATTCATACCAGCCACCTTACCAGAGGCATCTATCCCAGGCTGACGTCTGTCAGCCCGGGAGAAATCTGTGAGTATAATTTGTATTCTCAATTTTTGTCATAGCTGTGGTCGTTATTTCTCCCCATAACCTTCCATCTTCCTCCCATATTTTCCCTCCTCTAGTTTTTAATCAGAGGGATATGTCAAGAGTGACTTTGAAAGTCCTGCCTTCCCCGGAATGTGTTCTCTCGTGGCAGGGAGAGCTGGCGAGGACCGCAGCCTCCGTCTCTGAGTTTATGTTTGTGATACTTATTTTTATTACCTTTGAGTGAAAGTGATTGCTATGGTTATCTCCTTCTTAAATATATTTTTCCCTTTCATTTATTTTGAGTACAGTTTGAATTTTTATGCCTCTTCTATCTCATGCTCCCCAAAGAGGTGGGGAGGAGCAGCAGGGAGACACGGCCCCCCCTCGCCCGGCAGCACGCAGCCCCTTTACAGCACCCCTGCCTTACGGGGTTTTCTGCGGCTGTCACTGAATTCCTCAGTCTGAGTGGCTCATAAAGAATAAAGGTTTATTCAGCTCAGGGTTCTGATGGCTGGAAAGTTCAAGGTCTGGGAGCCACATCAGCAAGGTCCCTGCCAGACACAGGGTCACTGGGCAAGATGGAACAAGTGAGCCAGCTCGGTCCCTCTTCCTCTCCTTACAAAGCCGCCCTGCCACCACAGGACGGCAGGTCCTCGTCTGTCCTGATTACCTTCCAAAGGCCCCCCTCCAAACACCATGAACATGGTTTAGGTGACTGTTTCCAACTGGACCAAGCCACAGCAGCCCCCAGGAGAGAGCATCCCCCCCACCTCTCACCCCAGGGCACCCCAGGAGCCTACCTATAACGGCAGCAGGATTATGGGTTGAACCGGGGCCTCCACCACGGAACTGCATCCCCAGCCTGAAGGCCTTTCGGACAGAGATGAGCCGGGCTCTGGGTGGGCTCAGAAACTTCTAGAACCAAAAGCTGCATCACGGAGCTAAAAACATCCAAGGCTAACAGCCTCACCATGCCCCGTGTCTGGGTCTCAGTCTGCCACTCAGAGGGCACACCTGGGCTCCCTCCTCCTCTAGCCTTTCAGCACAGCCACAACCACCCCCTGAACCCCGGCTCGCAACCCCGGGCCCTAGCTGAGACCTCAGTGTAACCAGATCCGGGTGGAAGGCTATATTTCTCAGGAGCAATAAATAAATAAAGACACCACCCTCATTCTGACCTTGGCGCCACCCTGTCCTGGCCTGTGGGAGAGGAGAGTCAGCCTTGTCCTCAGTCCTCAGTGGTTTTTTTAAAAAATATTTTTTTAGCTGTAGATGAACAAAATACCTTGACTTTATTTATTTATTTTACGTGGTGCTGAGGGTCAAACCCAGTGCCCCACATGTGCTGGGCAAGCGCCTCACCACTGGGTCGCAGCCTCAGCCCTGATACTTTTTTTAAAGCTAAAATCAGATTAGGGATCCTCAGGACTCATCACTGTCACCCCCAGGCCTACAGCATCTGACCCATAACTCTTGACCTTCCACTGCCCACTGAGCTCCGGCCACACTGGCCTCCTCACCCCTTTGGGGACACCCAGGCAAGCTCCTCTCACCTCCAGGCCTGGGCACTTGCTCCCAGATGCCCACGAGCTCTTCTGCCAGTCCTCCCGGTCGCCGCTCGCGATGCCATGCAGAGAAGCCTTCTCCAGGTGCCCCGAAGACCCACTGCCCTGTCCCCCTCTCCTGCTCGTGTCCCTGTGCCACCCTCACTGCTGCCCGGCCCATCTCCCACTTCCGTTTGTTGTGAGAGGGAACCAGTAGGGGAGGGTGGGCCGGTGGCCGTGGTCTGCGCTTCTCTTGCCTTCGCCGCAGGGTCATGATTGTTGGATGAGTGACCAAAGGGGAACCGATGGCTGGAACACTAAAATGGAAACTTCTAGAACAGGCTGAGCCCAGGTGTTTGGGAGACTCACATCCCATCAACTGGATGTGGTCCCCGTCTAGAAGGGAGAGGGACAATAGGCCTCCAACAACAGCTCAGTGTGACAAGGCCAGGGACCCCAGGAAGGGACAGTTTTCAGGAAGCCCTGAGGAAGGAAAGAGAAGGCTCAGGATGCTGGTGACCGCTTGGAGAGGGGCAGGCAGGTGGGCTAGAGAGGGGGCAGCCTGTAGGGAAGGGGGGTTGCCGGGGATCCCCAGCAGGGAATCGCGCAGGGTCCACTGTGTTCTCCAAGGGGCTTCTCTGGCCAGTGCCACGAGCAGAGAACAGCCAGGAGGCGGGGGACACTGGGGCTAGACTCTAACACCAGCCGAGGCCGGCCCTCCGCCACCCTCACTCCCACATCCCCAAGACACAGCAGTCCCACCTCCCACAGCAACAACCAACCATTGAGGGGTCTGCAAGGTGATCCTGATAAACTGATGCCGGCCCAGCCCTGGGCTGAGGTGGGAGGGGAGAACAGGTGGGGCGTGGGCTGTTTTGAGAACAGATGAGGTGGAATCCACGGGGGATTGGCTGGAGGTGGAGGCCAAGGGACCCAAGAGCAATTCCAAGCTCCCGGCTCAGGCACTGAAGACCCAGGGCCCATAGGTGGGCATCCCTGCCACCCACTGGAGTTGGACCACCCCTGTGTCTCTGTGCTCTACAGCCACGCACAGGGCTAGGGTGGTGACTAATCTAGGAGGGGACAGTCTGGTAATAAGGGGTGGGATTAATGTTGGTGTGAGCAGAAGGTGGCTCTGCCGTGTGCAGTGGAGCACAGGCAGGCAGGTGGAGTGGACATCTGCTGCAGGAGATGGGCGGGGCAGGGGGTGGTTCTGGGCTGCTTGGGGACCAGGTGACACAGTGTGGCACAGTGTCAGGTGACAGCTTGGGCATGTCCCGAGAAGCACAGGGGCATGGTCCCTGGCTCTCCTCTGAATGTCCTGATGGGGGAGGCTGTCTTTTGGGAGGTCCTGGGGTAGAATATGAAGCCACAGCTGGCCAGCAGGAAGCTGAGAGCCTTCCCTGGTGACCTCCTGCAGGTCGAGCTCATGCACAGCTCCTTGGGGACATGGGTCAACCCAAGTCATGATGGTTAATTGTGCATGTCAACTTGAGTCCATGAAGTAATTCCTAGAGAACTGGGAGGCGTTACTTTTGGGTGCGTCTGGGAGGGTGTCCACAGGGGAGACTTGAGTGTGGGTGAGACAATCTGCCCTAACTGTGGCTCACCTGTCCCATCAGCTGCGGCCTTGATGGAATGAAAATGCAGTGGGAAGGGGGCTGGGGATGTGGCTCAAGCGGTAGCGCGCTCGCCTGGCATGCGTGCGCCCGGGTTCAATCCTCAGCACCACATACCAACAAAGTTTTTGTGTCCGCCGAAAACTAAAAAATAAATATTAAAATTCTCTCTCTCTCTCTCTCTCTCTCTCTCTCTCTCTCTCTTTAAAAGAAAATGCAGTGGGAAGGATCCCTTTCTCTGTCTTGAAGCTGGGACACCTCTTGGGCCTTCAGACATCTCTGACCTTTGCACTCTAGGACTTGAACCATGACCTCTGGATTCTTGGGCCTTCAGCCTCAGTTTACACCATCAGCTTGCCTGGTTCTAAGGCCTCTGGCATCCAGGATCTGCAGCCTACAGGCAGCCTGTGGGCTTCTCTGCCTCCACGGCTGCATAATGAGCACATATCGACATACATCTTCCATCAGCCTGTGCCTCAGGAGAACCCTGACTCAGGCACCTGTCATTGGAGTGGGGATTGCAGGTCCTGTGGGTACAAGTGGGGCAGGAGGGGAGGCATTGGGGAACTGCTGTATGTTGTGATACTTGGCCAAGCACGGTCGACGTAGCTACTCATACAAGCCAGACTGGTGTTACAGTTTGAATGACAGTGTCCCTGCAAAAATCTATGTGCAAATCCAATCATCAATGTGATAACGTTAAGAAGTGGGCCTCTCAGAGGTGAGTAAGGACTGGGGATGCAGTTTGGTGGCAGAGCATTTGCCCAGCATGTGTGAGGTCCTGGATTCCATCCCAACACGGGAAAAAAAAATGGGGATGAGGTCAAGAGAGCCTCGTGAGCAGGGTCAGCCTCTGATGTCGTGGTCTGTTCTGTGGATTTCTTCCATGGATCCTGGCTCATCACTCCCTGCCCATGGCAGGTCATGGAAGCTGTAGTGGAAACAGCTTCGCCTTTTGTTGTCCATAAGAACATTTCCAGACTAACCTCATCTGCCAGTTAGCTCACAATATTCTTCTCATTGCCCAGTGCCCAGGAGGGAAGGATGCTGAAGCCCTCCCCCATTGATTGGCACTAGATGTCCCATAAAGACTCCATGAACCCCAAGGACAGCCTCGGGAGCTTCAGGAGAGCTGAACACAGGAGGTTCTGATCTGCACCCCCATGCCTTGCCCTAGGCCTCTCTATCCTTTGTAATGTGCTTTGAAATCAATGGGTAAAAAGAAGTGTTTCCTGAGTTCTGTGAGCCACTCCAGCAAATTGAGGGACCTGAGGAGGAGATGTTGGCACTCTCCATTTAGAGCCAGTGGGTTAGAAGCACAACCTGGGACTTGTGACCTGCTTCTGCAGGCGGGCAGTCTTGGGGCCTGAGCCTTCCACCTGTGGGCTCTGACGCTGGCTGTTCCATGCAGATGGTGTCAGGACCGGCTTAGATCAGGACAGCAGGTGTCTGCTGCTGCAGGGTCACAGAGCTCTTCTGCGTTGACTGCAGCATGGAAACAGCGGGCAGAGTTTGGTTTTCCTAACACGTGGGTCCTTACAAAAGGGCTGGAGAGAGGATGTTCTGTTCCTCTCCCACACAAGGACCCCCTCTACAACAAGCTGCCATCTTGGAAGTGACACCAGGCTCTCACCAGACACCCAACTTGCTGTACCTTGATCTTGGGACTGGGTATCCCAATCTCAGAACTCTAAGAAATGGGTTTCTGTTCTTTATAAGCTACCCAGTCTCAGGTATTTTGTTATAGCAGCATAAATGAACTAAGACAACACCTTGTCACATACAACTTGTACCTGAGTTCTCAGCCTTGACACTACTAATATTTTGAGCAAATCATTCTTATTCTTTTTAAAATATCTTTATTTATTCAGTTTTATGTGGTGCTGAGGATTGAACCCAATGCCTCACTCGTGCCAGGCAAGCTCTCTACCACTGAGCTATAACCCTAGCCCTCTTTTTTTTTTCTTACATTTTAGCATGTTTTAAAATCGTGGTTAAACATGTATAACACAAAATTTACCATCTTGGGGCTGGGGTGGTGGCTCAGCAATGGAGTGCTCGCCTAGCATGTGCAAGGCCCTGAGTTCCATCCTCAGGACCACATAAAAATAAAATAAATGGAGGTACCATGTCAAACTACAACTAAAAAATAAATATTAAAAAATTGCCATTTTCAGTGTAGAGTTCATTAGCATTAAGCATATTCACATGGTTGTGAAGCCATCTCCACCATCCACCTCCACAACTCCTTCATCTTCCCAAGCTGAAAACCTTTCCCCGCTAAACAACTCCCTCTCCCCCAGCCCCTGGCCACACACACTCCCCTTTCCGTCTCTGTGAGTTCAACTGTTCTAGAGATCTCGCACTCAGCGGAATGATGCAATATCCATCTTTTGGGTCTGGCTTATTCCACTTGTTTTCAAATCCCTCCATGCCATAGCAGTGCCTATTTTGTGTTGGTGTAACAAAACACCACAGTCTGGGTGATTTTTTAAAAAAACAGAAATCTATTCGTCACAGCCCTGGAGGCTGGGAAGTCCAGGGTGAAGGTACTGCAGGTTCCGAGTCTGGTGAGGGCTGCTCTCTTCCAAGATGGCTCCCTTTCACAAAGACAATCCCCTCCAGGACAGGAGCTCTCAGGACTATGTCACCTCAGGCCCTACCTCTTGATGCCATCACAATAGCCTTCAAGTTCCAACATCTGAACTTCGGAGGGACACACTCAAACCATTCTGTCCTCAGAATGTCCTTCCTTTCCAAGGCAGAGTGATATTCTGAGCAAATGATGCTTTGCTGTGAGCCGTCCTGGGTTCTGTAGGATGCCCAGCAGTGCCCCTGGGCTCTGCCCACTGGATGGGATGCTAGTTTCACCTGCCACCTCCCAATTATGATAACCAGAAATGTCCCCAGATTTTGCCAAATGCCCCTGGGGGACCAACTCTAGCCCTGGTTGAGAACACTGCTCTGCACACACATCTGTGAAATCCTGAGTCTCCCCTGGTGTGCCTCCTCTGGCACAGAGAACAGATCTCCAGCTCAGGGCTCAGCCAGGGCCGGCGCAGTCCGTGAGAGCCACACGCGTCTGCTGTCAGCAACACTTAACAACATTGTGGAAGATTTTCACATAGCCAAACATTAAGGTGGGTTTTTTTCCCTTTAATTAAAAAAAAAAAAAAAACACAGTACACACCTCTCTCTGAAATCCCCATTAAGCTTACAGCAAGACCCACGCAGGCTGCACCGTCTCCTGCAAGCCTGATGAGGCTTCTCAGTTTGTTCCTCACATCTGGGGAGACATAAATCCTACTTAGAGTCAAACCTCAGGAGATCCGTGAGGCATGTAAAAACCAAAGATAAACAGGCCTGCTTTGCCACTGCACACACGTGAGCTGGATTTTCTCCAGTAATCCAGGCCTTTCACGGAAAAAGCCAAGAGCAAGGAACTCTCAGCACAATCCACAACACACAGCCAGACCAGCCAGACCCGCCAGACCAACGGCCACCGCCGCAACCCGGGCAGGGTTTCAGAGCAGCCTCCTCCCAGGCGCTGCCATCCTCGCACATCCCATGCAGCTCCCCGGGTTCTGCCGGCTCCCAGAGCCCTCAGACTTTTTTTTTAAATATTGTTTTAGTTGTAGATGGACACAATACCTTTATTTTCTTTATTTATTTTTATGTGGTGCTGAGGATGGAACCCAGGGCCTCACACAGACCAGCGCTCCACCACTGAGCTGCAACCCCAGCCCCCAGACTTGTTTATTTCCTAGTAAACCTTGGTGGGGGGAGGTGAATTTGTAGGGGACTCAGGAGTGAACAAGAGGGCCCCTCGGGGTTACTGGGCTGAACTAGATTCTGTTGGCTGGCCATTGATTGGGAGTCACAGATCTTCAGAATTGGAATCAGAGAAACTCACAGTAGGAAAACGTCCCCCTTCCTGGGGTAGGAGGAGCAGTGGCCATCCAGCTTCTTTTGGAACATTCCAGAAAAGCAGCAGATTTGCCCCAGTTCTTTGCCCCCTCTTGGTGGCCCTGCCCTCTGTCTTGTGACTTGTGGCTTTTGCCATAGAGCTTGGACATCATCCCTGACCCCTCAGTGCAGGCCTGTCCACTCCTGTCCAGCCTTGAGACCTGCTGCGGCCCACAGACATCTACAGGGAATGAATCCGGAGCTTGGGAACGCGCTGGCTGGGCTGGGCTCCCCCTCGAGCCGCTGCTATCGCCTGCCCACGAGCCAGGACTTGGATCAGAGCCACTGGTGACCCATCGTCATTGTGCCAATATCTGCCCCTCCAAAATGTGGCCGCGCTGCACTCAGCCAGGTGGCCTCTGGGAGCTCCACATGCCCTCACATAGAACCAGCTGGCCGGCACACACGGGAGTGCTACACCGGGCAGTACAGGCCCCGTCCTCTCTCAGCGTTCTTTGTTTGTGGACCGTGACCCTTCCTGGTGAACCAGCCTTTGCCTCCTTCTCACCAGGGTGTAGGTGGACCTGAGCCCTCCACAACCTAGAATAAGAGTAAGCAGGTCTGGGTTTGGTTGGCCCCAGCTGTGCTAGGTAGCCCTGAGTCTCCCCAGATCTGCCTGAACTTGGCACCAAGGAGGCTCCAGACAAGGGCAAGACTTGGTCCTGGCACCAAGGAACAGTCAGGTCAGGGACAGGAGGGGTTATGGCACCCAAGTGACCCCATAAACAGCGAGAGACAATCAAGCCTCATTGCAGGGAGAGCAACAGCCCTGCTGCTCTCCACTCACCCCTGCTGCCCCTCCAGCCCTGCACCCCTCCTGCCCTCCACACCTTTCCCCTTCTCGGCGCCTTCCCAAAGTGGCCAGTCCTGGACCCACGTGTGCCCACCCACGTTCACAACAGCACTCTGCACAACCACCCAGATGTCCTCCCAGGGGCGACTGGACACACAGACTTGGCCCATCCACACGAGGGGATACCATCCAGCCTTAGAGAGAAAGACAGGGCTGAGGTGCAGCTCAGGGGCAGAGCACTGGCCTTGCACACGCAAGGCCCTGGTTCATCCTTAGCACTAAAAAAGCAGTGTGTTTTAGGGACCTCTTACAGGAGGTCCCTAGACTCATCAAATTCATTGAGACAGAAAGTAGAATGGGGTTGCCAGGGGCTGGGGGAGGGAGAATGGGAGTCATGTTCAATGGGAATGGATCTTTGGTTTGGGAAGATGGAAGAGTTCTGGAGGCAGGTTGTGGGGATGGTTCTACACAGCAATGTAAATGTGCTTCAAGCCGCAGAACTATACCCACAAAAGGGACTAAAATGTTGATTTTATGTAACATATATTTTGCTTTGTTTTTAAAAAGCGCCCTGTTCTGTTTTCCAGCTCCCCGAGTCTCTCACCAGGCCGTTGGCTCACCAGGTAGCTAAGTCTTGTGTGGCCAAAGGCATGTAATGTGCCCTGTGTCCCCCACAGTGGAACTCTCCAGCGTCCTCATTGCTTTAGTCAAGGGAGATAAGGCAGCATGACACCAGGCCTTGGGGCAGGCTGGGAAAACACTGGGGACAGAGAGTGGGCCCAGGCCTCCTGTTCCCTAGAAAAAGCCACCCACCCTGCTAGCGGCAGACCTGCGATTGCACGCGCTCAGTGACAGGAGCCTTGGTCAGCTGGAAGGTGGGCACGTGAGCAGGTAGGATGTGCCAGGGAGAAGAAGAAGGAGGGAAAGCAGTGAGCAGAGACAGTGGAGGAGGACCAGGGAAGGGGGCTGAGGGGCTCTCCTGCCACCAGAAGGCCTGGATGGGATGACCTGTCCTGTGAGGTGCTCTGTGCACCTACCTGGGACCCAGACTCAGGGAGCCCTCTGTTCAGCAGCCTGGGGAGCAGGGTCCTGTCAGCAGCCACACATGCACTGGAGGAAGGGCCTGGCCCTTGGAGCCCTGGGATCACGTGGCCTCGTGCAGGGCTCAGGGCCAGAGGGACCCATGTCACACTAAGATTCTGATTGACCAAGACGGTGAGATGACAAGTAAAGTTGTCTTGAGTCACTAAATTTGGGGACAGTCTGCTCCAGAGCCATGCACAGTGACTGTGGGCAGCTGTTTCTAAGCCGGCGAGACAGTTCTCTCCCGGAACCCCACCGACGTCTTGGGCAGACTCTTCGATGGCTCTCTCCCTGAGTCCTCACGTTCTGCACCCACCCCACGCCCAGCCTCCGACTCGCAACCCAGAGCCCACGTGCAGTGGGGCCTCGCCCCGCTCCACCACTCTGCCCTTCCAGCAGGAGGGTCCCGAGCCTTCGCCACGAGAGCACCTGCTCCCCGCTCCTACTCCACTCTCCTGCCGAGCCCAGCCTGCCTTTCCCTGGCTGCTGAAGTGCAGAAGTCGGCCACCTGCTCTGTCCGCTTCTGGGTACCCAGGAATCACAAGTGTGTGCTGCTGGCACGCCGTCTGGTCCCAGTTCCGCCTCTAATTTGGTCCCCAGGGGACAGACGGTCTCATGGCTTCCAGGGTCTTCCAGCTAAGTTTGGGCCCTGAGTGCCAAGGCTATGGGGGCACTGGGCCACATGGAGAGGGAGGAAAGCCCGGAAGGAGTCCTGGACCTGAGCTCAAGTCCAGTTCTGCCTGGACAGTGAGCCTCAGCCACAGTCCCTCCAGCGCCTTCTGTGAGAGGCTCACACCAGGTCATGCATGTGCAGGGGCCCTCTTCTGAACTCGGCTGTGGTTCTTTGGACCTCCGCCACTACTGGACAGAAGCACATGGCCGTCAGGTTCACCGTTCAGTCTCTTGTGAGTGGGTTTTTATGATCTGGTTCCCCACAGCCTTAGCTCCCAAGGCCTGGGGGTGCGATCTGCAAGGCAAAGAGCTGTCACACCGTGCTGGCCCTCAGCCTCCGGGCACTGCCCAGCCTCATCCTTTGCGACACCATCTTGTATCATCACAGTGTTCTTCTCCTGCTGCGACATATCCACCTCTCTTGGCCCCGCTGCCCAAGAACTTCCCTCTAGAAGTTTGCCTGCCTCTCAGTGTTGAGGGAGGCAGAAATTCTCCCATGGGCTTTCCCAGAACTGGGGATACATCCGACAGGGCT